CGAGTAGCTCCTCATTTATAAACCAATTGATCTATCACACTTTTAAGTGCCTAAACCTGAACTCTAGGTTTCAAGTGACAAGAACATTTCTGTATTAATATTTAATCACTGGGTGGCCACACCGCCGGTATGTACTAGGTAGTATTACCTGTGTGTGTAGAGGTGGTGTACAATGGGAGATGGGGTGAGGAGGAACGAGGAAGTTAATCTTTAATGAAGTGTGCACACACGTTTAAAAGGAACACCTAGCTCTGTCTGTATGCTGGCTTAAGTACCAGAGCTAATTACCACAGAGGTGGGCTGTCATGATGAATAGCAGGGAGGGAACACACACACACACACACACACACACTACCGCAGTGTTCACACAGAGCGGCTGTACTATTTATTAATCAAACATGAAACGAAGAGGACAGGCTCTCTGGTCATGCACCTTGGGGTGAGGGAGATAGAGGGAGCTAATGTTGGGACAGAGGGTTTCAATCATATTGGCTGTGTGTGAGGTATTTGACCGTAGAGAGCAACCAAACCAGGGGTAAGTCAAGAGACTGAATCCAGGAAAAATACAAAATAACCACAGATATTTTTGTAACCTGAAAACCTCTTACAATAACAGAGACATTGACAGATTTACATTTGGTTATAGTTGGTCATTTGTCTTCAGACTATCCTTACTGTACAGGCCGCTAACAGAGCAATAGTAGCAGGAGAGGAGTGGCCTCTCAGTCAGGCCAGCCAAGCCTCACTCGTCTTGCTGACTGGGTGATAATGGATAAGAAAGCAGGTCTCACAGTCTGCGTCCCAAATGGCACCCTATTTCCAACATAGTGTACTACTTTTGGCCAGGGCCCATAGTGCTGTCTGTAGAATGATTTCAAACCTGGATGATTTCAACACTTTCTGTGATTATGGAGTGGTATCACCCCCTCTCTCCCCTCACTTAAGGCAGTCCAGTGTTAAGTGCTCTGGCCTGTGGGTGCTGTAAATCAGTGGTGGAGAGGGAGCCGATGTCTCCCCAGGGGCAGAGCACACACCCTGGACTGCAGCCTCCAGTTTAGGCTGATCTAATCCAGCTCATCTTCCTGGAGGTTTAACTACAAAGCCTGGTCAATAAGAGGTAAGGGAGGGGGAAGGACAGCTCCAATACGAGAGGAAGAGAGGTTTGGAGAGGAAGGGATGGCCCCAAACAAGAGAGGGGGAGCGGTATAGAAGGGACAGACCCAATACAAGACGGGCGAGAGGTATAGAAGGGACAGACACAATACAAGAAGGGGGAGAGGTATAGAAGCTCAGGATTTGTTCAGACAGTTGGTAGGCTACTCCTATTGTCTCAACACCTCTCTCCCATAATGTACAATGTTATTCTCACACAACCAACTAGGCCATCTATTCAATCCATGTAAGGGTGTTTCACTGTCTTTCCTCCCAAACCATCTCTGAACAAATGTAATAATCTCTAATGCTATCAGTACTAGATCATGTTGAGGATAGGATCAAAGCCTGACTGATGTTGGATTGCAATCATAGACATAATGGCTGGGGATAGAGCCTCCCCTAGTGGCGTCTAGCATGTATCACGGTCACAGCTATGCAATATCGTCCAGATATGATTTGGTGTCCAATTCAGATGAACCAGTACGCTATCTCCTGGCGAGATGGGTGAAACTACAATTCCCTAAATCGTATTAGAATGCGTGAACAGTACCCATATACAGTCATTGACAGTACCACATGTTTAAAAAGAGAAACACCTTTATTAAAGCTTGAGGCCCTAGTTCTTCATTCACTACAATGTCTTACTGGGTCAACAATGTACTTCAGTTTGCCTGTGGTGGGGACTAGAATCTTGATAATGGCAAAGTTATTATTTTACTTTAAAAAACAAAACCTAATATTATTTTTCATACAACATTTATACAATATCCCTTCATTTTGGCGATCACAAATGCATGCAAAACTACTAGTTATAAAAAGTTAATTAATTATGACTGCTACACTAGACAGGCACTAGTGGTAGTTCTGCCTCTACTCCTAATTGAATTTTAAAATATATATTAACTTAAATTCAGCAGTAGAAAACGAACTGCCTTTAATCTTCGTAAAGGGCCACAAACTCCTTTGACACGACTTACAGTCTGACAGTGATGCAATAGTAACTACTGGTCCTCTATCCAAAACCTTCTCGGTCTATACAGATAACTATTGTATCGCCTATATTTTGGGCTTCCTCAATCCAGTGTTTACAGATATAGAATGTCAATGATAGCTTGGTCCCAGATCTGTTTGTGCTGTATTGCCAAAAACCCCAGTGGAACTTCTGTTACCATGGATGTCCACTGAGTAGAAATATACTGAATTCCAAACCAACCCCTAGCACCTACTATTTAGCCATTCCTGTAGATCTGAGAAGATTAGACAGATGGTATTATCATAATACCATATTACCAATTCTCTCAGATCTACAGGAGTGCCTAGGATGTAGGGGTCGATTTGGATTTCAGAAATGGTTATCTTCACTTTAGATGCCATAGGTGAATAAAGTCAGCTCCAAAAGTATTGGGACAGTGCCATTTCTGTTGTTGTGTTGCTCTTTACTCCAGCACATTGGATTTGAATTGATACAATGACTATGAGGTTAAAGTGCAGACTGTCAGCTTTAATTTTAGGGTATTTTCATCCATATTGGGTGAACCGTCTAGAAATTACAGCACTTTTTGTACATAGTCCCTCCATTTTAGGGGGACAAAAGTATTGGAACAGATTCACTTATATGTGTATTAAAGTAGTAAAAAGTTAAGTATTTGGTCCCATATTCATAGCACACAATGACCACGTTAAGCTTGTGACTGTAAAAACTTGTTTGTTTTGGATGTGTTTCAGATTATTTTCTGCACAATAGAAATTAATGGTAAATAATGTATTGTGTCATTTTAGAGTCACTTTTTATTGTAAATAAGAATATAATATGTTTCGAAACACATACATTAATCTAGATGCTACCATGATTACAGATAATCCTGAATGAATCGTGAATAATGATGAGTGAGAAAGTTAAGACGCACAAATGCTAACCTCACACCATTACAATAACAGGGGAGGTTAGCATTTCTTTGGGGGGGGGGGTGCCTCTAACTTTCTCACTCATCATTATTCACAATTAATTCAGGATTATCCGTAATCATGGTAGCATCCACATTAATATACGTAGAAGTGTTTCGAAACATTCTATTCTTATTTACAAAAAAAGTGACTTCAAAATGACACAATACATTATTTACCATTAATTTCTATTAGGCACAAAATAATCTGAAACACAACCAAAACAAACACCAAATGCATCCAAGAAATGCGTAGTCACAAGCTTGATGTAGTCATTGCGTGCTATGAATATTGGGCCAAATACTTAACTTTTGACTACTTTAATACACCTACTGTATAAGTGAATGTCACAATACTTTTGTGCCCCTAAAACGGAGAAACTATGTACAAAAAGTGCTATAATTTTTAAACGGTTCACCCGATAAGGATGAAAATACCCTCAAACTAAAGCTGACAGTCTGCACTTTAACCTCATGTATCATTTCAAATACAACGTGCTAGAGTACAGAGCCAAAAAAACAAAAATAATTGTCACTGTCACAGCACTTTTGGAGTTCACTGTAGAAACATAACAAACATGGTATGATATTATAGAGGAAGCATTTGTTCACAAACTGTGTCAGAGCAGGTCAAAGTTGAGAGGTCAACTGTTCTGCTTCATATGAGATTACGCCTTCTTCAAAATAACACTAGAAATATTAAATATGACAAGATGGATCGACATACTCAGGACATTTGATAACAATGAAGGACAAAAAACTGTAGACACTCTTCATAGAGTCTGAATTAATATAGAACAGGCTTACATACACAGATGTCCTTTGGGAAAAAACACCTGATTATTCACTAAAAATACTACGAGATCACTTAGATAGAAATATAATACTAGAATGGACATGAGTAATTCTATTTCCATGGTCACTATCCCTAAACGGTAGCTATGAGAGGTTCTAGAGTTAAACAACATCTGACCAGTGTATCAAATATCTTTAAACGGTATTGAGTCAAACATAACAAGGACTGGAAGGATGTGTAGGACACTAACAATGGAGAACAAGAAATGTGCCAACAACCCAATGATCTCAACATCAAGGTAGGATCAGCTAGTTACACAGGTCTATTAGGCAACGGCCATTCACTAACAAGTCAGACCAGGAACTATTAAGCTAGTAGTAGTAGTAACAGAACCAACTTGAATGAATCTGAGTGGTTCAAGGCCACCAGTGTGTTCAACATTGTCCTTAAAATACTTAATCATGTCCAGAGTATGACGTGCTTGGCCACTGACCACTGAGGCTGCTTGTTGATCAGGAAGAGTGTCCTAGGTTACTGATCAGTATTGCCCAATGGTAAGCTTCCACAAACAATCAATGGTAAAAAAGCAAAGCCAGTTGTTCATATTGGTTTGACCAGACCAACCTCACATTTAAGGGCTTTCCAGGCAGGAAGCGCCGGCGGAGTTTCCCATTAATTTTCAATGGAGCTAGGTGGGGGGCCAAATTCTATCCAGGCGGAGCGGTCAGCGGCGTGAAAGCTGCCTAACGGAGGCGGAGATAATAGGAATCTATTTTGCCGAACTCCACTCCGAATTTCCACTTACTGTCTGGAAAGAGCTCAAGTCTCCATGGATCATTCCCAGTCAAAACATACTTGTCCAATTGAGGATACAACATGTCAGTTTGTGAATTCACTATTGCCATAGTAATATGACAGCTTGCCCAAACTCCTCCGACCCCACCCTAGGTCTCGTCTTCCCCTTCTGTTAAGTACCATGTACGTAACAATACAACAATTATTTTAAAAAGTATTACAAAAGTAGAAAATAATCCACTATCCCATCAACAGGATATGAGCTAGCTGGTGAGAACAACATAAGGTTTGGTGTCTTTGTCTTGTTTGTCTTAGCCAGGTTTATCTGGGCTGAGGTGGAGGGAGGATGCAGTACTGGTCTGCTCCAGTATGTGGCGCCACTGAGCTGAGGACTGCTGTCTGTGAGGGCAGAGGGGGTCAGAGGTCAGACAGCCAGACGGCTGTTCTGCTGCTGTAGGGGGCTCCAGGTGGCCGTGTGCCCAGGTGTATCCTGGGAATAGGCTCCTCCTCTGCCCTCGCAGGAGAATGACTGGTTCTCCTCCTTGGGGATGCTCCCTCCCGCCCCACACAGACGGCGATGACGTAGCAGACGGTCCGTCCGCGAGAAACTCTGGAACGGGGGCAGAGGGAAAGCATACATGTAACCACAAATGATGGGAGGCAGTGTAATGTACGTATTGAGCCCAAACCCTGGACCATGTTCAGTAGGCAAACGTTGTCGAATGTTGCAGATAGAAATGTCATGAATAGAGCCGACATGATTCCTTACTCTACATAACATATTTATATCTGAACGTTCCACAACGTTATGCCTTGCTGACAGTGCCCCAGGTGTGTGTGTACAGTGTACACAATGTATACTGAACAGAAATATAAACGCAACATGTTATTTCATGAGCTGAAATTAAAGTTCCCATAAGATGTGTTCCATATGCACAAAAAGCTTATTTCTCTAAAATGTTGTGCACAAATTTGTTTACATCCCTGTTAGTGAGCATTTCTCCTTTGCCAAGATAATCCGTCCACCTGACAGGTGTGGCATATCAAGAAGCTGATTTAACAGCATCATCATTACACAGGTGCACCTTGTGCTGGGGACAATAAAAGGCCACTCTAAAATGTGCAGTTTTGTCACACAACACAATGCCACAGATGTCTCATGCTTTGAGGGAGCGTGCAATTGGCATGCTGAATGCAGGAATGTCCACCAGAGCTGTTGCCAGAGAATTGAATGTTGATTTCTCTACCATAACCTGCCTCCAAAGTAGTTTTTGGCAGTACGTCCAACCGGCCTCACAACCGCAGACCTGACTGCAGTTTTCGGCGGCGTCACTGACTTCAGTAGGCAAATGCTCACCTTCCATGGCCACTAGCACGTTGGAGAAGTGTGCTCTTCACAGATTAATCCCGGTTTCAATTGTACCGGCAGATGGCAGACAGCGTGTATGGCGTCGTGTGGGCGAGCGGTTTGCTGATTACATTTTGTACATTTCAGATTTGATGTCAACGTTGATGTCAATGTTGTGAACAGAGTACCCCATGGTGGCGGTGGGATTATGGTATGGGCAGGCATAAACTACAGACAATGAACACAATTGCATTTTATCGATGTAAATTTGAATGCACAGAGATACCATGACGAGATCCTGAGGCCCATAGTCCTGCCATTCATCCACCTGATCAATTATATGCGAAGGAGATGTGTCGTGCTGCATGAGGCAAATGGTGGTCACACCAGATACTGACAGTTTTTCTGATCCACGCCACTCTCTCTTTTTTTTTAAAAAAAATAAGGTATCGGTGACCAACAGATGCATATCTGTATTCTCAATCATGTGAAATCCATAGATTAGGGCCTAATGAATTAATTTAAATTAACTGATTTTCTTATATGAACTGTAACTTAGTAAAATCTTTGAAATTGTTGCTTGTTTATATTTTTTGTTCAGTGTAGATCTCTCTTACCTGATTGCAGCGATCACACTGGTAGGGCTTCTCTCCACTGTGAACTCTCTTGTGTCTGTCCAGGTGGTATCGCTGAATAAACCGCATGTCACACACGTCACATGCAAACGGCTTCTCCCCTAAACAACAACACAAAAACACTGTTCAAAACTTAGTGCTATAGATTGAATTTGATGGATTTTTACATTTATTGTTTGGGGGCATCCACCAGCCCACCTCTTCGGAGGAAAAAAACTAATTTTCTTTCATTTTTTACAGCTTTTTCATTTTTGTTACATTCTACACACATGCCATTTTTTTTTACACAGTAGTTACATAGCAAAATATTTATAGTTATTTGAGATACATTATTACATCTGGTTACACCATAAACAATTAATTAACATGCACCTGTGGAACGGTCGTTAAGACACTAACAGCTTACAGAAGGTAGGCAATTAAGGTCACAGTTATGAAAACTTAGGGACACTAAAGAGGCCTTTCTACTGACTCTGAAAAACACCAAAAGAAAGATGCCCAGGGTCCCTGCTCATCTGCGTGAACGTGCCTTAGGCATGCTGCAAGGAGGCATGAGAACTGCAGATGTGGCCAGGGCAATAAATTGCAATGTCCGTACTGTGAGACGCCTAAGACAGCGCTACAGGGAGACAGGACGGACAGCTGATCGTCCTCGCAGTGGCAGACCACGTGTAACAACACCTGCACAGGATCGGTACATCCGAACATCACACCTGCGGGACAGGTACAGGATGGCAATAACAACTGCCCGAGTTACACCAGGAACGCACAATCCCTCCATCAGTGCTCAGACTGTCCGCAATAGGCTGAGAGAGGCTGGACTGAGGTCTTGTAGGCCAGTTGTAAGGCAGGTCCTCACCAGACATCACCGGCGACAATGTCGCCTATGGGCACAAACCCACAGTCGCTGGACCAGACAGGACTGGCAAAAAGTGCTCTTCACTGATGAGTCGCGGTTTTGTCTCACCAGGCGTGATGGTCAGATTCGCGTTTATCTTCGAAGGAATGAGCGTTACACCAAGGCCTGTACTCTGGAGCGGGATCCATTTGGAGGTGGAGGGTCCGTCATGGTCTGGGGCAGTGTGTCACAGTATCATCAGACTGAGCTTGTTGTCATTGCAGGCAATCTCAATGCTGTGCGTTACAGGGAAGACATCCTCCTCCCTCATGTGGTACCCTTCCTGTAGGCTCATCCTGACATGACCCTCCAGCATGACAATGCCACCAGCCATCCTGCTCGTTCTGTGCGTGATTTCCTGCAAGACAGGAATGAAAGTGTTCTGCCATGGCCAGCGAAGAGCCCAGATCTCAATCCCATTGAGCACGTCTGGGACCTGTTGGATCGGAGGGTGAGGGCTAGGGCCATTCCCCCCAGAAAATGTCTGGGAACTTGCAGGTGCCTTGGTGGAAGAGTGGGGTAACATCTCACAGCAAGAACTGGCAAATCTGGTGCAGTCCATGAGGAGATGCACTGCAGTACTTAATGCAGCTGGTGGCCACACCAGATACTGACTGTTACTCTTTTGACCCCCCCCCCCCCCCGATAACAAGTTCAAACAGGTGCCATTAATACAGGTAACGAGTGGAGGACAGAGGAGCCTCTTAAAGAAGAAGTTACAGGTCTGTGAGAGCCAGAAATCTTGCTTGTTTGTAGGTGACCAAATACTTATTTTCCACCATAATTTGCAAATAAATTCATTAAAAATCCTACAATGTGATTTTCTGGATTTTTTTCCCTCATTTTGTCTGTCATAGTTGACGTGTACCTATGATGAAAATTACAGGCCTCTCATCTTTTTAAGTGGGAGAACTTGCACAATTGGTGGCTGACTAAATACTTTTTCCCCCCACTGTATATGTATCAAACCAGTTGCCGTGATAAGTTATTTGTTGTTGTGCACTCTCCTCAAACAATAGCATGGTATTTTTTTTACTGTAATAGCTACTGTAAATTGGACAGTGCAGTTAGATTAACAAGAATTTAAGCTTTCTGCCCATATAAGACATGTCTATGTCCTGGAAAGTTTGCTGTTACTTACAACAGTCATTCTAATCACATTAGCGCACGTTAGCTCAACCGTCCCGTATACGGGACACCGATCCCGTAGAGGTTAAATAGAGAATGGACCGTTTACATCACTTCCTGTTGAACGCGGAACAAGGAAGAGCTCAGATTTGTTGTTTTGAAAGTGTATTGGGAAGTTCTTAGTAGCTAGCTAACTCTTTAGTTTGGATCCCAACGACAGTTGGCATCAGTTGCTGGGATTGCTAGTCTCTGTCCAGTGATCCTGCCGACCAAGGACGGGTCTGAGGAGCTATTTGGCATTGCAGCTAGCCTAGCCTAGCTGCTAGCTAGCAGGGTTTTCTTGAGGGCTTGAACGCAGCCCGCAACGCGGTTAGCCATTGTGGCTGGGACCGCGGATTGCCCCGGGTTTGTGGCTGTCTAGATCCCTGCTGTTTGTTGTTTTCAATCTTCCCTGTGACCTGCCCTGTCTGGAAATTGAAGATGGACAATAGGAACATTGAGGTGGAGCACGCCCACAGGACTGGAAAACCCACCACCTGCCCAGGTGACAGGCCCAGGCCGATAGTGGTCAAGTTCCTGAGGTTCAAGGACAAGGTAGCTGTTCTGGAAAGAGCCAAGAACTTGAGAGGAACGTATATCTTTCTCAACGAGAACTATCCTGAACCTGTGCGCCAGAAGAGGAAATAACTTATCCCAGCCATGAAAGCTGCCAGAGCGTGTGGGGACATTGCTTACATTCGCTATGACAGGCTCATTGTCCATCCTACCTCCCAGAAGCCTGGGAGGGATGAGAGAGCCAAGCCTATGGGTTCATAGCTTCAACCCCGCAGCGCACACACACACCAATTGATTAATGCTTTTCAGTATTATGTCTATCTCTGATAAGCTACCCAGGAAAGGGCTGAAAATACCCATATTAATATACAGTGGGGAGAACCAAGTATTCGATACACTGCTGATTTTGGCAGGTTTTCCTACTTACAAAAGCTGTAGAGGTCTGTAATTTGTTATCATAGGTACACTTCAAATGTGAGAGACAGAATCTAAAACAAAAATCCAGAAAATCACATTGTATGATTTTTAAGTAATTAATTTGCATTTTATTGCATGACATAAGTATTTGGTCACTACCAACCATAAGAATTTCTCTCCAATACTGTTGTTATTCTTTATACACTTCCTGGTTGTCCACTCATGACACAAGTTTAAACGCATGTTCGTAAGTCTTCACAAGGTTTTCACACACTGTTGCTGGTATTTGGCCCATTCCTCATGCAGATCTCCTCAGAGCAGTGATTGTTTTGGGGCTGTCGCTGGGCAACACGGACTTTCAAACGCCCATCCAAAGATTTCTATGGGGGTTTGAGATATGGAGGACTGGCAGGCCCACTTCCAGGACCTTTAATGCTTCGTACGAAGCCACTCTTCGTGCTCGTGCGGTGTGTTTGGGATCCTTGTCATGCTGAAAGGACCCAGCCACGATTCATCTCAAAATGCCTTGCTGATGGAAGGAGGTTTCAATCAAAATATCACGATCATGGCCCCATTAACTTCTTCCTTTACGGATCAGTCGTCCTGTCCCCTTTGCACAGAAAAACACAGCCCCAAAGGCATGATGTTTCACCCCCGGCTTCACAGTAAGGTTATGGTGTTCTTTTGGAGCAACTCAGCATTCTTTGTCCTCCAACACGACGAGTTGAGAGTTTTTACCAAAAGTAGGCCAAGACAATAATATAACATATATAGAAGAGACAGAAATGCTCATAGGGGAGGTATTGCTGTATATATATATTCAGAGCCATATCCCTGTAATGTTTAAAGAAGATCTTATGTCAAGTGTTATTGAAGTGTTGTGGTTGCAGGTTCCCTGGCCACATCTAAAGCCTTTTCTGTTGGGGTGTTGCTATAGGCCATCAAGTGTGAACAGTCAGTATCTAAATAATGTGTGTGAAATGCTTGATAGTGTATATGTGATGTAAACAGAGAGGTCTACTTTCTTGGGGACCTGAATATTGACTGGTTTTCAACAAGCTGTCCGCTCAAGAGGAAGCTTCTCACTGTAACCAGTGCCTGTAATCTGGTTCAGGTTATTAATCAACCTACCAGGGTGTTTACAAACACTACAGGAACAAGATCATCCACATGTATCGATCACATTTTTACTAATACTGTAGAACTTTGTTCTAAATCTGTATCCTTGCCCATTGGATGCAGTGATCACAATATAGTGGCTATATCCAGGAAAGCAAAAGTTCCAACAGCTGGGCCTAAAATAGTGTATAAGAGATCATACAAATGATTTTGCTGTGACTCATATGTGGATGATGTAAAACAAATATGTGTTGGTCTGATGTGATTAATAAGGAGCATCCAGACGCTGCACTTGATGAATTTATGAAATGTCTTCTTCCAATTATTGATAAACATGCACCTGTTAGGAAACTGCCTGTTAGAACGGTTAAGGCTCCATGGATTGATGAGGAATTGATTAAACTGTATGGTTGAAAGAGATGGGGCAAAAGGAGTGGCTAATAAGTCTGGCTGCACATCTGACTGGTTGACTTACTGCAAATTGAGAAATTATGTGACTAAACTCAACAAAAAGAAGAAGAAACTGTATTATGAATCGAAGATCAATGAATGAAGATATAAAGAATGATGGAAAAACACTTGGGAGTACTTTAAATGAAATTATGGGCAGAAAGACAAATTCAACTCCATCTTTCATCGAATCAGATGGCTTATTTATCACAAAACCATTTGACGTTGCCAATTATTTTAATGATTACTTCATTGGCAAAGTGGGCAGACTTAGGCAGGAAATGCCAACAATGAACAGTGAGCCATTGTATTCATGCATAAAAAAACAAATAATTAAAAGAAAAGCATTAAAAGTTTTGAATTTTGAAGTTAGTGTGGGAGAGGTGGAAAAATTATTGTTATCGATCAATAATGACAAACCTCCTGGCATTGACAACTTAGATGGAAAGCTACTGAGGATGGTAGCTGACTCTATAGCCACTCCTATATGTAATATCTTTAATCTGAGCCTAGAGGAAAGTATTTGTCCTCAGGCCTGGAGGGAAGCCAAAGTAATTTCCTCTACCCAAGAATGGTAAAGTGGCCTTTACTGGTTCTAACAGCAGACCTATAAGCTTGCTGCCAGCTCTTAGCAGACTGTTGGAAGAAATTGTGTTTTACCAAATACAATGCTATTTCTCAGTAAACAAATTAACAACAGACTTTCAGCATGCTTATAGGGAAGGGCACTCACCATGTACTGCACTGATACAAATGACTGATGATTGGTTGAAAGAAATTGATAATAAGAAGATTGTGGGAGCAGTACTGTTAGATTTTAGTGCAGCCTTTGACATTATTGACCATAACCTGTTGTTGAGAAAACGTATGTGTTATGGCTTTTCAACCTCTGCCATATCGTGGATTCAGAGCTATCTATCTAATTGAACTCAAAGGGTTTTCTTTAATGGAAGCTTCTCTAATGTCAAACATGTAAAGTGTGGTGTACCACAGGGCAGCTCTCTAGGCCCTCTACTCTTTTCTATTTTTACCAATGACCTGCCATTGGCATTAAACAAAGCATGTGTGTCCATGTATGCTGATGATTCAACCATATACGTGTCAGCAACCACAGCTAATGAAGTCACTGAAACCCTTAACAAAGAGTTGCAGTCTGTTTTGGAATGGGTGGCCACTAATAAACTGGTCCTGAACATCCCTAAAACTAAGAGCATTGTATTTGGTACAAATCATTCCCTAAGTTCTAGACCTCAGCTGAATCTGGTAATGAATGGTGTGGCTGTTGAACAAGTTGAGGAGACTAAATTACTTGGCGTTACCTTAGATTGTAAACTATCATGGTCAAAACATTTAGATTCAATGGTTGTAAAGAGATGCTCTGTTTTTTTGACACCACACTCCAAAAAGCAAGTTCTGCAGGCTCTAGTTTAGTCTAATCTTGATTATTGTCCAGTCGTGTGGTCCAGTACTGCAAGGAAAGACCTAGTTAAGCTGTCCCAAAACAGAGCGACATGTCTTGCTCTTCATTGTAATCAGAGGGCTGATATAAATACTCTGCATGCCAGTCTCTCTTGGTTAAGAGTTGAGGAGAGACTGACTGCATCACTTCTTCTTTTTATAAGAAACAATAATGTGTTGAAAATCCCAAATTGTTTTCATAGTCAACATACACACAGCTCGGACACACACACTTACCCCACCAGACATGCCACCAGGGGTCTTTTCACAGTCCACAAATCCAGAACAAATTCAAGAAAGTGTACAGTATTATATAGAGCCATTATTGCATGGAACTCAGTTCCATCTCATATTGCTCAAATAAACAGCATACCTTGTTTCAAAAAACAGATAAAGCAACACCTCACGGCACAACGCCTCTCCCCTATTTGGCCTAGATAGTTTGTGTGTATGTATTGATATGTAGGCTACGTGTGCCTTTATTTATTTTTTATGTAGTTCTGTCCTTGAGCTGTTCTTGTCTATTAATGTTCTGTATTATTTCATGTTTTGTGTGGACCCCAGGAAGAGTAGCTGCTGCTTTTGCAGCAGCTTTTCCCCGTGGTTTATTTTCATGCCAACCAGGTAGGCTATACTCCTGTTGTAAATATAAGCAATGTGCTTAATATTAGGAAAGTTGAGAAATAAATATAGTAGGCCTAGCCTGTAGAAGCTGATAGGATCCTCCTCTTTTTATTAGCGTCTATCACTCTGATTTCTCCCGCAATTGCATAGCCTATAGACATTTTGTGAAACATGAGCTCATGGGAACTCATGAAATGTTTGATTAGATTTCGAAATACATTTGCATTGATGTGCAGAGTGCTAAGTACCAGGCAGTTAGCACGTTTGTTAGGCTACTGGCTATGACCAGCAGCAGCATCAGAGCTTGAAGAAGCATAATTACCGTGACTAAAGGGTCATGTGGAATTTGACTGCCTTCATGACTTGTGACCGCCGGTGTGGCGGTAATACGGTCACCGCAACAGCCCTAGTCACGTGGCCGTGGCTTTCTATATAAAGGAGGCAGTGGTGCGACAAACAACATCCAGTCAGCAGCAGTCCTGTGGGCGAAAATAGCTTGTTGATGAGAGGTCGAAGGGGAATGGCAAGAATCATGCAAGCTAACAGGCGGGCCACAAACAGGCAAATAACGGCGCAGTACAACAGTGGTGTGCAGAACAGTATCTCGGAACTCGTCGGTCCTTGTCACGGATGGGCTACTGCAGCAGACGTCCACACCAGGTTCCACTCCTATCAGCTATAAACAAAAAGCGTCTCTAGTGGGCACGCGATCACCAACACTGGACAATTGAGGAGTGGAAAAACATTGTCTCGTCCGACGAATCCCGGTTTCTGTTGCTTCATGCTGATGGCAGCATGAGACCATGGCACAATCCTGCCTGGCGTCAACGGTACAGGCTGGTGGTGGTGTAATGGTGTGGGGAATGTTTTCCTGGCACATGTTAGGTCCCTTGATACCAATTGAGCAACATTTCCATGCCCCGAAGAATTCCGGCTTTTCTGGAGGCAAAGGGGGGTCCGACCCGATACTAGATGGGTGTACCTAATAAACTGGCCGCTGAGATTATATAGTTTTTTCGGTCATAACTATTATAGATCATGGGCTTTTAAAAACCAACCCTCAGCCCATCCCACCTATCTCCGTAAACGACCCTCTTATAATATCCATTTGCCATATCTTTTTCAACTGGCTGTTGCACATACATTCTGAACCTTTCTAATCGCATAGTATCCACAGATTGTAAAATTAAAGATGAATATGTGTACTGTTTTCACTGGCACTTAAAATTATGACCAAATTCGAGCTGGCTCAAATGGAATTCTCAAATTCAAGCGGGGTCGAAGGAAACCCGGGCCAGCGCAACCCAGTTTCACAACTTGTGCCAGCTCGATTAGAATTCGGGCTGGTGACGCCGTTACTATGCAACCACCAAGCTGATCACAGCTGGACGCTGACACAACGTTTAGCTAGCTCGTCTGGGCTTGTTGCTGTTAGCTAGCACATGGACAAGCAGTACTGCAGTAGTCAGACATTAATAATAATAATAATAATAATAATATGCCATTTAGCAGACGCTTTTATCCAAAGCGACTTACAGTCATGCGTGCATAATTTTGTTTTGTGTATGGGTGGTCCCGGGGATCGAACCCACTACCTTGGCGTTACAAGCGCCGTGCTCTACCAGCTGAACTACAGAGGACCACAATTACATGAATTACCACCATAGCTCGATGCTTCATTCATTTTTGCACTACACAATCAACTTTTATGAGAACAGTCAGCCCTCAAATGCTAGCCACTAAACGTTAGTTAGCAAATCAGAGTTGAAACAAGCTTGCTAGCAGGAATTTTGGCTGGCCAGGTCGTATTGAAAGCTAGCTAGCTACATCATATCAAACCTGTTGTCTGGTTTGCTTGGTTAGCTAGCTAGCTAGCTAACAGCCAATGCCATGGCAAGCAAGGAATTAAGCTAGCTAGCCTGTTATGCTAGCGACGACGCTAACCTTTTAGCTAGCTAACGTCAACAAGCTAAATAAATGGCTCTGAGTCTGGCTGGCACTGGCAGGAGTATGGGGTAACGTTAGTTACAGCATGGTGAGGGTGAATTAAATTCTTCAACATCTTGCTAACTAGCTAGCAACATTAGTGAAGCCATTTGCAATCACATATTGGCTACCTAGCAACATGGCATTATTTCTCATTTCTGGAGGCAGTGGAAACGCAATATGAGCTAGCCCAGGGGTGTCAAACGTCCGGCCCACGGGCCGGATCAGGCCCGCAAACGGGTTTAATCCGGCCCGCGAGATGATTTTATAAAGTATAAAAATGAGCTGCAATTTTTCAATAAAATAAACTGATGTTCCAATTGCGTCCACTGGATGGCACAATAGCAATTGTGTTAAGCAAGCAAACTGTTTATACTGGGGCAGAGCAAGTAGGTCAAGCAAGTGCAGCCAGTCCGGATGAGCTACTTTGTTTTGCCCGCGATATTTATTACGGCTTCTACTTTTAACATTATGTGCTTTGGCACCCTCATTGCCCCAATATGTCTCTGTCAGAAAATAGAAAAGTGGACGCAGAGTGCAAAGTGTTCCATGAAAAATGGTCATCCTCCTATTTATTCAGGGAATTGAATGTGAAAGCTGTATGTTTGGTGTGTTCACAGCATGTTGCAGTGCTGAAAGAATATAACCTTCGTCGCCACTATGTGAGTCTTCATGCCGACAAATATGACAACTTTCAAGGACAGCGGAGAAGAGAGAAGGTGAATGAACTGTTGGCGGGTCTGAAGAAACAGCAGTCTGTGTTTACTCACAGCCGAGACATCAGTGACACTGCAGTGAAAGGCAGCTACCTCATTGCTAATGAAATCACAGTGGCTTCAAAACCATTTAGTGAGGGTGAATTTGTAAAAACATGCATGATGAAGGCAGCGGAGATTGTGTGCCCTGAAAAGCGCCAGGCTTTTGCAAATATCAGCCTGACAAGAAACGCAGTTGCAGACAGGATTTCCGATCTTTCAGTGGATTTGGATAGCCAGTTGAAGCAAAAGGTAAAGTCATTTATTGCGTTTTCGGTTGCAATTGATGAAAGCACGGACATTACAGATGTTGCACAACTGGCCATTTTCATCCACGGAGTTGATGACACATTGACCGTCACCGAGGAGTTTGTGGAGTTGGTGCCGATGACAGCTACAACGACAGCAGCTGATATTTTCACCGCACTCGTCGGCGCGCTGGACAGGGTCGGAGTGGACTGGTCCTGCGCTGTCAGCCTGGCTACAGATGGTGCGCCCTCAATGATCGGGAAAAAAGCAGGCGTTGTGACAAAGTTCAGAGAGAAAGTGCAATCTGCAAATGGAGGACGTGATTTTTGGTCTTTTCACTCTATTTTGCACCAGGAGGCTTTGTGTTGCAAGTCATTAAAGATGGATAACGTCATGAAGGTGGTCATCCAAACTGTTAATTTCATCCGATCCAGAAGTCTGAATCACCGTCAGTTTGACAGCCTTCTCAGAGAGAAAGACCACATCTATGGCCTGCCATACCACACTGAGGTAAGATGGTTAAGCCGAGGTGCTGAGGCGTTTCTTTGATTTACGAGAAGAAATTGAACAGTTCATGGAAGAAAAGGGCAAACCAGTGTTAGAATTTCATTCCACAGAATGGATGCAGGACCTTCCATTTATGGTGGATGTTACAGAGCACCTGAATAACTTGAACAAACAGCTGCAAGGGCGCAACAAAGTTGTCACGCAGTATTATGACAGCATACGTTCTTTCAAGTTGAAGCTGTCATTGTGGGAGACGCAACTCGCCGGTGGTGATGCAGCTCACTTCCCCTGTCTGAAAAATGTGTGCGCGACCAAACATGTGGCAGACATGAAGCGGTTCAAAGATAAAATAACGGGACTGTTACGGGAGTTTGAGCAACGCTTTCAGATTTTTGGTGAACTGGAGAAAGACTTCAAAGTTTTTTGCTCGCCATTCACCGTGAATCCCTCTGATCTGCCCGTCAGCATCCAACTTGAAATAATAGACTTGCAGTGTGACTCGGATTTGAAGGGCAAATTTGCCGCAGCTGGCTTGGACACATTTTATCAGAATCTCTTGCCAGGTTACCCCAACTTGACAGCCCTCGCTGCAAAACTGTTGTGCATGTTTGGAACCACATATCTTTGTGAGCAAGTTCTCTGTAATGAGCATAAATAAAACAAAGCTGCGCTCAAGGCTCACGCACAAGCACTTGAATCACATCCTGAAGTTGGCTGCCACTCAGGATGTGACGCCTGATATTGATGCGCTGGTGAAAGCTAAAAGATGCCAGGTATCAGGAGTCAAATAAACTATGCAACCCCACTTAAAGTGCTGCATGAGACACCCTGATATAGTTCTGTGATCTGTGATATACTTCTGTGAATCACTGAGGCATTGTGTGTTTGTGTGTTGTTTGTCCTCAGAATTTTCTAATAAGTTGATGTGTTTTATGATTAATAGTGATGTTGTGCTTTTGGACACACTGTCCTCAGGCTCCAGCTTTATGTTTATATGTTTTTATGTTGATGTGCTATTGTTTTTAATTTATTTTATTTTATTTGTATATTTAACCTATTCTTGACTCTGTGGTTCTTGCACTTGTTTGGGGAACAGGATTTCATTATTTTTATCTACATTTCTGCCTGAGAAATGACACCCTGATATAGTTCTGTGATCTGTGAAACAGTTCTGTGAATCACTGAGGCATTGTGTGTTTGTGTGTTCTTTTTCTTTAGAATTTTCAAATAACCTTGAGGTGTTTTATGATTAATAGTGATGTTGTGCTTGTACTATTTTGGACACTGTCCTCAGGCTCCAGCTTTATGTTTTATGTTGATCGTATTAAAACAAAGAAAACAATCTGAAGTTGTTGTTTTTAAGTTATATATACCATGATTTTACCGGTCCGGCCCACTTGGGAATAGATTTTCCTCCATGTGGCCCCTGAGCTAAAATGAGTTTGACATCCCTTAGCTAGCCCAAGGCCAGCCCAACCTGGGTTGACTTCAAAGTGCCAACGGAAATGAGGCTTAAGAGTGTTATTATATTGTTGATTGATTGACTATGGCTTTCCAAATCTCCCAACAGTGCTATTTGTAGGGTTAGTTTCAGGTAAATGTTGTGATTTTTCAGCCACTTCTGAACCTGTGACCAGAAACAAGCTACATCGGGGCAATACCAGAAAAAGTTATCTAATGATTTTGTCCCTTCGCAGCAAAATCTGCAGAGCTGAGATGGTTGCATGCCCCACATACAGTTGAAATCGGAAGTTTACATACACTTAGGTTGGAGTCAATAAAACTGGTTTTTCAACCACTCCACAAATGTCTTGTTAACAAACTATAGTTTTGGCAAGTCGGTTAGGACATCTACTTTATGCATGACACAAGTCATTTTTCCAACAATTGTTTACAGACAGATTATGTAACTTATAATTCACTGTATCACAATTCCAGTGGGTCAGAAGTTTACATACACTAAGTTGACTGTGCCTTTAATCAGCTTGGAAAATTCCAGAAAATGATGTCATGGCTTTAGAAGCTTCTGAAAGGGTAATTGACATCATTTGAGTCAATTGGAAGTGTACCTGTGGATGAATTTCAAGGCCTACCTTCAAACGCAGTGCCTCTGCTTGACATCGTGGGAAAATCAAAAGAAATCAGCCAAGACCTCAGAAAAAAAATGGTAGACCTCCACAAGTCTGGTTCATCCTTGGGAGCAATTTCCAAATGCCTGAAGGTACCACGTTCATCTGTACAAACAATAGTACGCAAGTTTAAACACCATGGGACCACGCAGCCGTCATACCGCTCAGGAAGGAGACGCGTTCTGTCTCCTAGAGATGAACGTACTTTGGTGCGAAAAGTGCAAATCAATCCCAGAACAACAGCAAAGGACCTTGTGAAGATGCTGGAGGAAACAGGTACAAAAGTATCGATATCCAGAGTAAAACGAGTCCTATATCGACATAACCTGAAAGGCCGCTCAGCAAGGAAGAAGCCACTGCTCCAAAACCGCCATAGAAAAGCCAGACTACGGTTTGCAACTGCACATGAGGACAAAGCTCGTACTTTTTGTAGAAATGTCCTCTGGTCTGAAACAAAAATAGAACTGTTTGGCCATAATGACCATCGTTATGTTTGGAGGAAAAAGGGGGCCGCTTGCAAGCCGAAGAACACCATCCCAACCGTGAAGCACGGGGTGGCAGCATCATGCTGTGGGGGTGCTTTGCTGTAGGAGGGACTGGTGCACTTCACAAAATAGATGGCATCATGAGGAAGGAAAATTATGTGGATATATTGAAGCAACATCTCAAGACATCAGTCAGGAAGTTAAAGCTTGGTCGCAAATGAGTCTTCCAAATGGACAATGACCCCAAGCATACTTCCAAAGTTGTGGCAAAATGGCTTAAGGACAACAATGTCAAGGTATTGGAGTGGCCATCACAAAGCCCTGACCTCAATCCTATAGAACATTTGTGGGCAGAACTGAAAAAGCGTGTGCGAGCAAGGAGGCCTACAAACCTGACTCAGTTTCACCAGCTCTGTCAGGAGGAATGGGCCAAAATTCACCCAACTTATTGTGGGAAGCTTGTGGTAGGCTACCCGAAACGTTTGACCCAAGTTACACAATTTAAAGGCAATGCTACCAAATACTAATTGAGTGTATGTAAACATCTGACCCACTGGGAATGTGATGAAAGAAATACAAGTTTAAATAAATAATTCTCTCTACTATTATTCTGTCAGGAATTGTGAAAAACTGAGTATAAATGTATTTGGCTAAGGTGTATGTAAACTTCCAACTTCAACTGTACATGACATTCTGTTGGTGGCAAGAATTTTGTATAATAATTTAAATAGGAAAATGTTAGGTTTTGAATCAAGCGTTGTTTTGTGTATCAGTTCATAAACTATGTGCCATGGATTTTTAACTTAAGAAAAATAAAACATCTGCTTTTAAATTGTGAGTCGTGCATGTTTCTCTACTAATTAATGTTTTTTCTGACTAGTGTTATAACTGTTACCACATTTTATGAGTATTCCTGTGCAATGAAGGTGAAACGTAAAGCGATACAAACCTGTATGAGTGAGGATGTGCCGCTTCAGGTGGTAGCTACTTCGGAACGCTCCATAGCAGTGCTCACAGATAAAGTTCTTCTGTACTTGTGAATTATGATCATCATCACCGTTAATATCCATCTCCACCTGCTGAGAAACACAATGAGGTTTCAGATTATTAGAACTTCTCATATTATACACACCATAAAAGTGTAACGCTACAGCACACACACTTCTGTCCTGCAATTGTATCCATCATTGTACATTCCATCTTCCCACTCTCTCTCACACAAACACTACTTACCTCCACTTTCTCTCTCAGCTTGTTGGGTGTTGCTGATTTTCTGTGCTTCTTTTTTGTCGGTTGTATATTCTGGCTGGCCTGCATATCTTTCTCATCCAGCAGCCTGGGTGCATGAAATGAGTGTCCATCCTTTCTGATAAACTATTGAGGAGAGAGATGGGACAAATAAATTGGTGGGGGAAATGGTTGATAATTCATTTATTTCTAATATACTAACCAAAATAGAGCTACTGCTTAGATATGTATTCATATTATTATAATTTTTTTATAGATTTACAATAATTACATGAATATAATTTCAGATGAATTGCCAAACCCCGAAATGTAAAGAGTCAAATAGCTTTCAAATAGGCACATCCTTTTCTTCTCCTCTACACTGCATTCCATTTTCTCTATAATATTTTTTTTGGGTTCAGTTTAATTTTTTTGTACACTAAAATAACAAGTACTTATAGAGAATCAACTAAATTGAATGTTCTGAGTCCATGGCACTGCATAGATCACATCGGAAGACAATTATTTAGGTGTGGAAAAAATCTAAAACATTTAGATTTTTTTGGAGTAATTCCCCTTCCAAGTGCATACCTAGTGAGAGGAATGCCTTTTGGTAGCAATGTTTCTGTACTGCACATGAGGGCAGAGTCTTCTAAACAAATGCCCACCGATTGATAGAAATAATAATTATATTATTCTGTCAGGTAGGCCTACTTTGCAGTTAACATTTAATTGAGAAAACCTTTGTCTACCCACAAGACGGTTATCATAGGCATCGCTAACTGGCTATACAAAGTGATAGCCAAACGTGCGCATACACAGACGGGCAATATCGCTGGAAATTAATTGGCAGATATTGTGTTATGTTTGGCTTTTTAAGCCAATTGTGGCTAACAATGGGTGGGATAATGTCAATGTGGCTTTGATTGGATACTAGCTGGGAGCTTGCAGTGTCTGATACAGTATTTGTGAGATTTGTTTATGACAGTTTGCGGTGGAACACATGAAAAATTTACTTTCAGCATTGTTCGGCGAGTTGCTCATAGGCGGGCTGCAAGCTAGTGGTAGCTCGCGATCTAGCTGTTGGGAGACCCTTGCCTTATAACGTTAGTGTGTCTCTGTTTCTCACCAGGGGTGGGCAGCTGACCCCCAAGGGCAGGACCATGTGGCTGTGGTGGGAGTGGGACTGGTGGTTGTTGTGGTGTCCATGGTGTGATTGGTGAGACTGCTGCTGGTGGCTCTCAGGGTTGTTGTTGTCCCTCTGGCCCTGGCTGTGCTGTGACATCATCTTCTTCTGTCCCCCAGACATGTTGTTGGCCTGCATCAGGGCCATGCTGGACAGCACTGCCTCACAGCCCAGCAACCAAGCCTGGAGGAACAACACAAACAGCAGTTCAGTTGGGACAGTAATATGGTGGCCTAGGATTGTCATCAACCCAGACTGTAGGAACAACACAGGACAAACAGCAGCTCAGAGTCAGCATCAGGGTCATAGTCAGGGCCACAGTCCCAGGCATAAAGGCTGACACACAGGGACTGCAGATGGTCGTCCACTGACTGTTTTTGGCCTGGTCTGTCAGGCCTCTAAGGGAAAGACTCAGAGAAAAAGTGAGGATGAGAGAAGGCCTTCAAGCCATGAATGTAATGGCATTGTGGCACAAAGACGAAAAACAAGAGGCTAAATAAATTAAAACCAAGATGGAAAGAAGGAAGGAGAATTCAACTGACCCATTTCATGTGGTCTCGAACTGAGTTGTTGGGATGGTGTGTCATTGCCGGTGCGTGGATTGAATGCGTGTGTGTTTATGCGTGTGTGTTTGGGGGTACAGGGGCGCGTCAAGGGGGTTCACTCAGGATGAGGGGTGTGAGAAGACTACACCCACCCAAAGCCTGGAAATAGAGGGTTATTGTGAGGCCAAATTATTGTATTTTGTTTATTTTTACTATGACTACTGGTATTCAAATTCAGGCCTAATATATCTAATAGAGTGCAATTTGGTTTAATTATCAGGGGTGCTTTTATAAATTTGGCATGGTCAACAAAGACCGTTTATATCAGGCTTGGAGACAGCAGCCCCAGTGGTTTGGTGTATGCCTCTTCTTCCCATGGAAAACTGAATAGATTCTTGTCAAATATTGTTGCAATGATGACAGAAATAAAGCTGGAGAATGAGGACAAACACCTTCTGTTCATGAATATGATCTGGAAAATGGGTTATGATTCGTGCAAGTTACTCAAAAGACCATTCAATATTGACCCAAATATAAGCTAATGATATGATATCACATGTTAGGACAAAAACAAACAGGTTGGCATAGTTTAGCCACACAGCTGATCGATCATCTTGTGCTCCCTTTACTCTAGTCTCCATACAAGTACTCTAGTCTCCATACAAGTACTCTAGTCTCCATACAAGTACTCTAGTCTCCATACAAGTACTCTAGTCTCCATACAAGTACTCTAGTCTCCATACAAGTACTCTAGTCTCCATACAAGTACTCTAGTCTCCATACAAGTACTCTAGTCTCCATACAAGTACTCTAGTCTCCATACAAGTACTCTAGTCTCCATACAAGTACTCTAGTCTCCATACAAGTACTCTAGTCTCCATGCAAGTACTCTAGTCTCCATACAAGTACTCTAGTCTCCATACAAGTACTCTAGTCTCCATACTCTAGTCTCCATACAAGTACTCTAGTCTCCATACAAGTACTCTAGTCTCCATACAAGTACTCTAGTTTCCATTCAAGTACTCTAGTCTCCATACAAGTACTCTAGTCTCCATTCAAGTACTCTAGTCTCCATACAAGTACTCTAGTCTCCATACAAGTACTCTAGTCTCCATTCAAGTACTCTAGTTTCCATGCAAAGTGCCCGCTAAAGCTGCCTGGAAGTGAGGGGCTATCTACCTAGCTTGTTGGAGCTCACTTCAAATGCAGTATTATTCAGTGCCCTTAGACTGCACTGCTCTAGTTAAATACAATCATGTCTGAATACTGAGCCAGCTCAAAGTTAGAGAAGGAGCTAGCTAGCTACCTAATTAGCAAGCTAGCTGGCTAACGCTAGCTAGACATCCTCACTGAGTTTCCGAGGCCAAATACCAACAATAGCTATGGGGTAACGTTAGCTAAGATCATGAGTGAAAATATTGTTTAGTTAAATATTTTGTGAATTAGCGATCAATGAGGTAACTTATGGGGTAAAGCAAGAGTCCGCTTAAGTGAAGCTAGCGCAAGATGACTCACTGGTTGGGTACCCCCCCCAGACAACACAACAGCAGCCAGGCAGGGCGTGCGGGTTGAGCGCCGACTACAAATTGTCCTAACTCTCATTGCCTTAAAATTCTTGGAAATAACTTATGCATTGCAACTCTATGGTGGCTTTGTTTGGAAGTACATTTTAGAAATGGTTTACCTTTAGTTTTTTTGAGTTTGTAGATTAATATTTCTTGTCGGAGTTCCAAATTTTCTCAGTTTACAAACACAGGAAACTACACCGGAAGTGTTCCCCAGGGAGAGCTTCCAAATGATTTGAGAACAATGACGCATGATATCGGCCATGTTGGTAAGGGAAACATAGGGGGCTTGCAGTTGCGTCACAAATCACCTAGCAACCACACCAGGCGCCATGTTGGAAGACCAGAGTCAGTCTGGTGGAAGTCCTCCAATCATCCACATGGCTGGCTGCGTTAAAACTTCGCAAAGATTACCTATGAGCTAGCTAGCTACAGGAACTTAGTGTTCAGTCTAACTCAAATGAGCTGCTAAAGTAATGTTCGCTAGCTAGCTTTACATACTGTATAGTAGGGGTCACCAACAGTTCGATCGTGAGTTACCAGTAGCTCGCAGCCCACCTTCCAGTAGCTTGCCAAACAGTTCTGAAAGTACATGCAATTTTCAAGTGTTCCACCGCAAACTGTCATAAACCATTCTCACAAATATCAGAAACCACATGCTCCCAGCTGCTATCTAATCAACGCAACATTGACATTAAAAAGCCAAACCTAACACAATATCTGGCAATTAATTTCCAGCAGTATTGCCCCCTTCTGCCTGTTGAGGCCGCATTTGTTTATCACTACGTGTGTAACCATCTGGTGGGTTGATATAAATACTTTCCCCAAAGCCTTCTCAATTAAATGTTAACTGCAAAGTAGGCTTACCTGGCAGAAGTACTGTATATCATGAGTAAGTATATCATTTGTATCTATTATTTGTTAATTGCTAACTTTGCCATGAAATTAGCAGCAGCAGTACATAACCATTGCTAGACCGGCACATTAGATGGCCAGACCTCTTCTGATGTGATTTAAGCATTGACATGGACTCAGAACATGTTTCTCTATGAACAACTAATTTTAAGAGTCAAAAATAAAACTGAACATAATTTGGGAAAATATAATACATGATTTGGGGAAAACATCTGATTTCATAGGACCCCCTTAGTTGTTTATTAACCATTATTTGACCTGGTATATTGACAGAAAACTTTCTCTTGTACACTAAGGACACAGGAAGAGTTGCAGGGGAGAGAAGAGAAGAATGTGCCTATTTGAAAGCTATAAAAAGTAAATTGTGACGTTTCATTTTTAAAAAGTAGCTCTCATGCTAGAAAAGGTTGGAGACCCCTGCTGTATTGCTAGCAAAGTGAATTACATATCACCACCTAGCTAACTTCATATTAGACAGTGACAAAAATGTAAAGGCAGTAGCAAAACAATATTTAGGTAATGATGACTATCAGAGATCATTGCCTAGCCTCTCAATCTCATCTAGAAAGCAGATCATATCTTGTTGGGAGAGCTGCGGGGAGACGACTATCATGCGGAAGAAGTTGACTCGTCCACCCTGAGGCTGGTAGCTCACCATCATGGTCCCCTGCATCATACGCTCCTTGATCACAGGACTCACCTAGTGAGTGAGAAGATCGAATAATTATGTCAACCAGACAGACAGAAACTACACTGTATTGTCTCAAGTTGACAAATTGAGGTAAAAATATTATTGTCATCACAGTAAGCTACTTCATACACCAACCTCTGACAATCTGTTTTGATCATCTGGACTGTTCTCCTTTCCTCTCAAGCTGGGTGGTATGAACCAGAAACACACGTTCACAAACTCAGGCTGTTCAGTGGGACCAGAGCAGAAGACCTTGGTGAGATGAAAATGTGACAAGATTTTATTTATTTTTATAAATCAAATGAAATTGTATTTGTCACATACACGTGTTTAGCAGATGTTATAGCGGGTGTAGCGAAATGCTTGTGCTTCTAGCTCCGACAGTGCAGTAATATCTAACAATTTCACAACATATACCCAATACACACAAAAAAGTAAGGAATGGGATTCAAGAATATATACATATATGGACAAGCAATGACAGAGCGGCATGGACTAAGAGATACAGAAGAATATTATAGAATATAATACAGTATATACATATGAGATGAGTAGTGCAAGATATGTAAACTTTATTAAAGTGACTAGTATTCAATTTCTTAAAGTGGCCAGTGATTTCAATAGGCAGCAGCAGCCTCTAATGTGCTAGTGATGGCTGTTTAACAGTCTGATGGCCTTGAGATAGAAGCTGTTTTTCATTCTCTCGGTCCCAGCTTTGATGCACCTGTACTGACTTCGCCTTCTGGATGATAGCAGGGTGAACAGGCAGTGGCTCGGGTGGTTGATGTCCTTGATGATCTTTTTGGCCTTCCTGTGACATCGGGTGCTGTATGTGGGTAGTTTGCCCCCGGTAATGCGTTCGGCAGACCGCACACCTCTGGAGAGCCCTGCGGTTGTGGGCGGTGCAGTTGCCGTACCAGGCGGTGATACAGCCCGACAGGATGCTCTCAATTGTGCATCTGTAAAAGTTTGTGAGGGTTTTAGGTGATAAGCCAAATTTCTTCAGCCTCCTGAGGTTGAAGAGGCTCTGTTGCGCCTTCTTCACCACACTGTCTGCGTGGGTGGACCATTTCATTTTGTCGGTGATGTGTACTCCAAGGAACTTGAAGCTTTCTACCTTCTCCACTGCGGTCCCGTCGATGTGGATAGGGGGGTGCACCCTCTGCTGTTTCCTGAAGTCCACGATCATCTCCTTTGTTCTGTTGATGTTGAGTGAGAGGTTATTTTCCTGGCACCACACTCCCAGAGCCCTCACCTCCTCCATGTAGGCGGTCTCGTCATTGTTGGTAATCAAGCCTACTACTGTTGTGTCATCTGCAAACTTGATGATAGGGTTGGAGGCGTGCTTGGCCACGCAGTCATGGGTGAACAGAGAGTACAGGAGGGGGCTGAGCACGCACCCTTGTGGGGTCCCAGTGTTGAGGATCAGCGAAGTGGAGATGTTGTTTCCTACCTTCACCACCTGGGGGCGGCCCGTCAGGAAGTCCAGGACCCATTTGCACAGGGTGGGGTTCAGACCCAGGGCCTCGAGCTTAATGATGAACTTGGAGGGTACTATGGTGTTGAATGCTGAGCTATAGTCAATGAACAGCATTCTTACATAGGTATTCCTCTTGTCCAGATGGGATAGGGCAGTGTGATGGCAATTGCATCGTCTGTGGATCTATTGGGGCGGTAAGCAATTTGAAGTGGGTCTAGGGTGACGGGTAAGGTAGAGGTGATATGATCCTTGACTAGTCTCTCAAAGCACTTCATGATGACAGAGGTGAGTACTACAGGGCGATAGTCATTTAGTCCAGTTACCTTTGTTTTCTTGGGTACAGGAACAATGGTAGCCCTCTTGAAGCATGTGGGAACAGCAGACTGGGAAAGGGAGAGATTGAATATGTCCATGAACATATCAGCCAGCTGGTCTGCACATGCTCCGAGGACGCGGCTAGGGATGCCGTCTGGGAGTTAACATGCTTAAATGTCTTAATCACGTCGGCCATGGAGAAGGAGAGGCCACAGTCCTTGGTAGTGGGCCTCGTCAGTGGCACTGTGTTATCCTCAAAGCGGGCGAAGAAGGTGTTTAGCTTGTTTGGAAGCGAGACGTCGGTGTCGGCGATGTGGCTGGTTTTCTTTTTGAAGTCCATGATTGTCTGTAGACCCTGCCACATACGTCTTGTGTCTAAGCCGTTGAGTTGCGACTCCACTTTGTCTCTATACTGATGTTTTGCCAGTTTAATTGCCTTGTGGAGTGAGTAGCTACACTGTTTGTATTCTGCCATATTCCCAGTCACCTTGCCATGGTCGAAAGAGGTGATTCGCGCTTTCAGATTTGCGTGAATGCTGCCATCTATCCACGTGTTTCTGGTTAGGCTAGGTTTTAATAGTCACAGTGGGCACAACATCACCTATACACTTCCTGATAAACTCAGTCACTGTTTCAGTGTATATGTCTAAATTATTTTCGGAAGCTACCCAGAACATATCCCAGTCCGCGAGATCAAAACAATCTTGAAGCGTGGATTTCGATTGGTCAGACCAGCGTTGAATAGTCCTTGGCACGGGTACTTCCTGTTTGTTTCTGCCTATAGGAAGTGAGAAGCAAAATGGAGTCGTGGTCAGATTTGCCGAAAGGAGGGCGGGGGAGGGCCTTATAACCATCCCGGAAGTTTGAATAGCAATGGTAGAGAATTTTAGCAGTGCGAGTACAACAGTCGATATGTTGATAGAACTTCGGCAGCCTAGTCCTCAAATTTGCTTTGTTAAAATCCCCGGCTACAATAAATGCAGCCTCAGGATATGTGGTTTCCAGTTTGCATAAGGTCCAGTGAAGTTCTTTGAGGGCCGTCGTGGTTTCGGCTTGAGGAGGGATATACATGGCCGTGACTATAACCTAAGAAAATTATCTTGGGAGATAATACGGTCTGCATTTGATTGTGAGGTATTCTAGGTCGGGTGAACAGAAGGACTCGAGTTCCTCTTTGTTACTACAATTACACCACGAGTCGTTAATCATGAAACACACACCTCCGCCCTTCTGCTTCCCGGAGAGATATTTATTCCTGTCTGCGCGATGAACTGAGAACCCATCTGGCTGGACCGATTCCGACAGAATATCCCAAGAGAGCCATGTTTCCGTGAAACAGAGTATGTTACAGGCCTTGATGTCTCTCTGGAATGAAATCCTTGCCCGTAGTTCGTCGACTTTGTTAACTAAAGATTGAACATTAGCGAGTAGAATACTTGGAAGTGGTGGGTGGTGTGCGTGCCTCCTAAGTCGGACCAGCAGGCTGCTCCTAGTGCCTCTCCTCCGCCGGCGATGTTTTGGGTCAGCCGCTGGAATCAGTTCAGTTGCCCTGGGGAGAGCAAACAAAGGATCTGCTTCGGGAAAGTCGTATTCCTAGTCGTAATGCTGGTGAGTTACCGCCGCTCTGATATCCAATAGTTTTCCCCGGCTGTATGTAATGATGCAAAACACTTTCTGAGCTAATAATGTAAAAAATAATACATAAAAAAACAAAATACTGCAAAGTCGTGCTAGGATCACATCAAGAGTATAGAGTATACTATTTTGATAAAAACTTACCTTTCCTATAAGTTGAAACCCTTCTAATTTCTGCATCTCCTCTACCAGATAACTATGGGACAGAGAACACAAATGAGTCATTATATTAAATGTAAAACATTAATTGACATAGATTCTATTAAAATCTTTAATTGAGAGATCTATGATGAGGAGTTTGAGTTGTCTTATTTAGAATTGCAGCCATGGGGTTGTACTCAATACCCATGAAGATATAGCGTATAGGCTATGTGGTTGTACCTTGTATGGGCGAAAGCCCTGTCTACTCGCTCTGCCAAGCCATGTGAGCCCACCGCTTTCCACATCAACCACAGGTTCAGACAGTCAACTTTACGGCCACACTGTATTGACTTGTCCCCTGTGTCCAGACTCATGTCATAGAACTTATCCTGCTGGAACAGGTAGGTTGTATTTGCGCTGTGGCAATGCTTCAACAGGTTCTGTGGAAAAGGAGAAGACATGAAGAGGTTTCGCTAAAGAATAAGAATGAAGAGGAGACAAATAACATGGAAATATCCTGGTATCCTTGAGCAGAATGGCTGAACACTGCAAGCCCGTCAGCAGCATTTTGTGTGGATTCCAAGTCATTGAATCGGCTCTGATCACAAACACATTATTACATTCTGGACATTAGTTTGAATCCCAACTACCGTAGGCGAAAGTATGCACCTGACCAGACTCACACTTTTCAATTCCTCTCATGAGAAGTCTATGTTCCTTTGAGAAAAGGACACTCCCTCCCCAAGCTGCCTGTGTCAAACAACAAGAGAACACCAGTCTATTCTTCAACCCAAAATGGTCACCATCCAAAATTAAATTAGACTGTGGCACTGGATCTACATAACCGATGGCATCGGACGTGTACTTCATCTCAACATTAGATCACTGTTGTGTGAAAACATCTGCCAAAGTTTGATTGTAGAGTGAACCATCCCGTTAAGAACTCACATCTACATGCATCCACAACCCCTGTCTGTCACAGATGTCAGCTATGGGCTCTAGTGGGTCAAAGGCTCCTTGTACAGTTGTTCGTGAGGTGGCATGGACCAGGAATGGGAATGCCCCCTGGTGGAAGAGAGGGGTAATGAGATGTCCTTACGTCTCTATTTCTGTTTTGTAGTGTGTACATCTGGGGCTCTTTCTCGATTAAGCTTTCATCCTCTGTCCGCCTCCTTCTCAAAAGGCATTGGAGAAGAGGTCCGAGGGGAGGGACCTTGGACCTTCTCCTCCAATTTGGTTGAGAAGGAGGCGAGGAGAGAGGATGCAAGGAAATGCAGAAAGACACATGGAGAAAGAGCCAGGGCTGCCCAACCCTGTTCCTGGAGAGCTACCGTCCTATAGGACAGTACAGGAGGGTAGCGCTCCAGGAACAGGGTTGGGCAGCCCTGGTGTAAATGATCTACTAGGATCTGTTGAGTTCATAGTAGTCTACTGGCAATTCCTAGTCTATCAGCAAACCACAACTATACAACTTTGCAGGCAGGCAAACTGACTCAGAGGGGTTGAGTTAAATGTGGAAGACACATTTTGTTGAATGCATTCAGTTGTACAACTGACTAGGTATCCCCCTTTCCCTTCACTATTCCTTTGTTACAAAACACACACTTGTGTTCTTATTTAGGGTTTTGTTTCCCTTTACTGTATATCACAGCACATAAATTTTCTGAATGTATTAACATTTCATGGTTAACAGTAAACTTGCTTGTGATTTTGCCAGCTCAATTTTCTCATCAAGGTCCTCTGGAATCATGCAACCCCTGTAGGACAACAGAGAACACTTGTTAAAATCTGTAAATTATGTACACGGAGTGTACAAAACATTAAGAACACCTTCCTAATATTAAGTTGCACCCCCTTTTGCCCTCAGAACAGCCTAAATTCATTGGGGCATGCGTTCCACAGGGATGCTGGCTCAGGTTGACTCCAATGCTTCCCACAGTTGTGTCAAGTTGGCTGTATGTCCTTTGGGAGGTGGACCATTCTTGATTCACACAGGAAACTGTTGAGCGTGGAAAAACCCAGCAGCGTTTTTCACACACCTGTAGCCCGGGGTATAACAAACACAAGAAACCCCTGAAAATACAGCAGTGGGTAATGTGTACCTCCAAGGTTTGATTGTAATGTACACAATCAGGTGGGAAGATATCACTTAACTTACTGGTACTAGCCCAAAGCCCAGTGGTTCCTAAACATTTTTGTAAAACTATTTTATAATTTCAATACAAATTGAAAATACAAATGTTCATTTTTTTACGTAAATTATCTATGCTGTAGCTTAGACCCTACTTCACATAATCTAAGGTTTTTGTGTTGTGTCCCGCCATCGGTTGAGACACAACATGCTCTTGAATACAGGGTGGGTGTAATTTAAATCATAGAAATATAATTCATAGAATGGACCTATCCCTTCCTTCAGACCACTGTAATTTAGCTGGTACACCATTGAAATGAAATAATTTATAGAAAATATATTTTTTAATCCAATAAATAATACAACTGTTTGACAACACTGTTTGTAAGCTTTTAAATGATATCAAACTCAACCATGGATGTCTCATGGTATGGTGGGGTACGCAAAAATCGCTCAACTTTGAGCACCTTTATCTCCTGAATATTTTGGCATTCAGGTCCAAAACGTCACTTTCTGACCACTTCTTCCGTGGGCAAACATGTATAGAATGTTTTGTTTACATCAAAAGGGATGCTGTAAAAAAAAGTGATTGAATTCAAATGGACACAGTGCAGGGAACAAACAAGTTACATGTCAGACAGAATCGTCTTTTGACAGATGGGAGTCATTCTAAAGCGAACTACCAGTGCAGATGGTCGTTGTGCTATCTGGGGTAAGACAATGGTTAGACAGACAACTATATAAGGTGAAGATGGGATGTGAGACCTTCTCATTGACATCTGTGCCCTTCCACAGCATCTCCTCCATGATGACTTTAAAAGCCTGGGTTAAGAAGAGCTGGCCCTCTCTGTGGTCCATAAGAGGTTCATTCAGGTGCAGCAGATCATTGGGGGAAGGTTCTGTAGTTGTCCCATAGTCTAATGAAGGACGATAATGAGAGTTGAATAGTGACGTGGCAATCAGATGATAGTGATACGCAAAAAGACATGCACACACGAAAACCCTCAATAATGGAAATCAAAACGTTTTTTTTTGCACTACTATTCAGATGTTTTTATTTTACATCAAAATGTTCAGAAGGAAACAATGTATTGTAGATATTGAGTGACAGGTTGAAAACCCTGCACAATAAGGATGTGCCCCATCAGACAACACACACATTCCATATCACCTCGCTCCGAAACAACACTCAGATTCCTCCACCTATTGCGAGAGGAACGCCATCCCAGGTTCCAGAATCTCGCTAGTTGACGCATGGCTTAAAGCCTCAGTCTGTAAATGAGATGTACATACCATAAAGTATTGGTCAACAATGGAGCAAATGCATGACAATTTAATATGCAAAATAGCACTTGATTTATATATCTGTACTCTGTAGTAAAGTACTCGAAGAATACGATTTCCAGAGAGCAACATTACATGAGTCTAAGGTATAGCCTACATGATTCATTTAAACAAATCTCCTATGAAAACAAAAATCTTAGACTGTGGCTGTTAAAATGGTTACAGAACAAACCATAAGATGAAGTTGTACAAAACATTTAAAACATACCTGGTAACAGGATATACAACACAATAGGCCTATGTCGTGAATGGCAATCTGTGCAAATCTCAGAAACTAAACTCTTGTTCACAATGAACATCACATAGCTAGCATTAGGCCCTTAAGAGTATGAAGTCTACAGTACAAAGTCTATATTCTTATCATGCATGAAAATGCAGTGTTGAGCTTGACCATGTTTATGGTTCAAGGGTGAGTAAAATTACACTACCAGAGTGAAACAATAACTAGATGAAACCACAAAGGACAAAGGTCATTATGAACAACAGAAATATGATCAGTACACATAGTGGAATATATCATGTAATCTATTTTGAACATGGATTTTTTCCCCCACCATGAAATGAAAATTAAGAGTCAGGAAGAGTGAGGCCAGGCAGGTAGTGTCTGGTGCCAACCCGTTAAACATTTTTCTTGGGGGGGCTCATCCATGGAAACACTAAAGTATACAGCTATATAACTACAAAAATTTTATATATATATATATATATATATATATATATACACAGTGGGGAGAACAAGTATTTGATACACTGCCGATTTTGCAGTTTTTCCTACTTACAAAGCATGTAGAGGTCTGTAATTTTTTATCATAGGTACACTTCAACTGTGAGAGACGGAATCTAAAACAAAAATCCAGAAAATCACATTGTATGATTTTTAAGTAATTAATTTGCATTTTATTGCATGACATAAGTATTTGATCACCTACCAACCAGTAAGAATTCCGGCTCTCACAGACCTGTTAGTTTTCTTTAAGAAGCCCTCCTGTTCTCCACTCATTACCTGTATTAACTGCACCTGTTTGAACTTGTTACCTGTATAAAAGACACCTGTCCACACACTCAATCAAACAGACTCCAACCTCTCCACAATGGCCAAGACCAGAGAGCTGTGTAAGGACATCAGGGATACAATTGTAGACCTGCACAAGGCTGGGGTTGGCTACAGGACAATAGGCAAGCAGCTTGGTGAGAAGGCAACAACTGTTGGCGCAATTATTAGAAAATGGAAGAAGTTCAAGATGAGGTCAATCACCCTCGGTCTGGGGCGCCATGCAAGATCTCACCTCGTGGGGCATCAATGATCATGAGGAAGGTGAGGGATCAGCCCAGAACTACACGGCAGGACCTGGTCAATGACCTGAAGAGAGCTGGGACCACAGTCTCAAAGAAAACCATTAGTAACACACTACGCCGTCATGGATTAAAATCCTGCAGCGCACGCAAGATCCCCCTGCTCAAGCCAGCGCATGTCCAGGCCCGTCTGAAGTTTGCCAATGACCATCTGGATGATCCAGAGGAGGAATGGGAGAAGGTCATGTGGTCTGATGGGACAAAAATACAGCTTTTTGGTCTAAACGCCACTCGCCGTGTTTGGAGGAAGAAGAAGGATGCGTACAACCCCAAGAACACCATCCCAACCGTGAAGCATGGAGGTGGAAACATCAGTCTTTGAGGATGCTTTTCTGCAAAGGGGACAGGACGACTGCACCGTATTGAGGGGAGGATGGATGGGGGGCCATGTATCGCGAGATATTGGCCAACAACCTCCTTCCCTCAGTAAGAGCATTGAAGATGGGTCGTGGCTGGGTCTTCCAGCATGACAACGACCCGAAACACACAGCCAGGGCAACTAAGGAGTGGCTCCGTAAGAAGCATCTCAAGGTCCTGGAGTGGCCTAGCCAGTCTCCAGACCTGAACCCAATAGAACATCTTTGGAGGGAGCTGAAAGTCCGTATTGCCCAGCGACAGCCCCGAAACCTGAAGGATCTGGAGAAGGTCTGTATGGAGGAGTGGGCCAAAATCCCTGCTGCAGTGTGTGCAAACCTGGTCAAGACCTACAGGAAACGTATGATCTCTGTAATTGCAAACAAAGGTTTCTGTACCAAATATTAAGTTCTGCTTTTCTGATGTATCAAATACTTATGTCATGTAATAAAATGCAAATTAACTACTTAAAAATCATACAATGTGATTTTCTGGATTTTTGTTTTAGATTCCGTCTCTCACAGTTGAAGTGTACCTATGATAAAAATTACAGACCTCTACATGCTTTGTAAGTAGGAAAACCTGCAAAATCGGCAGTGTATCAAATACTTGTTCTCCCCACTGTATATACATACAGTGGGGGAAAAAGTATTTAGTCAGCCACCAATTGTGCAAGTTCTCCCACTTAAAAAGATGAGAGTCCTGTAATTTTCATCATAGGTACACGTCAACTATGACAGACAAAATGAGGAAAAAAAATCCAGAAAATCACATTGTAGGATTTTTTATGAATTTATTTGCAAATTATGGTGGAAAATAAGTATTTGGTCAATAACAAAAGTTTCTCAATACTTTGTTATATACCCTTTGTTGGCAATGACACAGGTCAAACGTTTTCTGTAAGTCTTCACAAGGTTTTCACACACTGTTGCTGGTATTTTGGCCCATTCCTCCATGCAGATCTCCTCTAGAGCAGTGATGTTTTGGGGCTGTCGCTGGGCAACACGGACTTTCAACTCCCTCCAAAGATTTTCTATGGGGCTGAGATCTGGAGACTGGCTAGGCCACTCCAGGACCTTGAAATGCTTCTTACGAAGCCACTCCTTCGTTGCCCGGGCGGTGTTTGGGATCATTGTCATGCTGAAAGACCCAGCCACGTTTCATCTTCAATGCCCTTGCTGATGGAAGGAGGTTTTCACTCAAAATCTCACGATACATGGCCCCATTCATTCTTTCCTTTACACGGATCAGTCGTCCCGGTCCCTTTGCAGAAAAACAGCCCCAAAGCATGATGTTTCCACCCCCATGCTTCACAGTAGGTATGGTGTTCTTTGGATGCAACTCAGCATTCTTTGTCCTCCAAACACGACGAGTTGAGTTTTTACCAAAAAGTTATATTTTGGTTTCATCTGACCATATGACATTCTCCCAATCCTCTTCTGGATAATCCAAATGCACTCTAGCAAACTTCAGACGGGCCTGGACATGTACTGGCTTAAGCAGGGGGACACGTCTTGCGCTGCAGGATTTGAGTCCCTGGCGGCGTAGTGTGTTATTGATGGTAGGCTTTGTTACTTTGGTCCCAGCTCTCTGCAGGTCATTCACTAGGTCCCCCCGTGTGGTTCTGGGATTTTTGCTCACCGTTCTTATGATCATTTTAACCCCACGGGGTGAGATCTTGCGTGGAGACCCAGATCGAGGGAGATTATCAGTGGTCTTGTATGTCTTCCATTTCCTAATAATTGCTCCCACAGTTGATTTCTTCAAACCAAGCTGCTTACCTATTGCAGATTCAGTCTTCCCAGCCTGGTGCAGGTCTACAATTTTGTTTCTGGTGTCCTTTGACAGCTCTTTGGTCTTGGCCATAGTGGAGTTTGGAGTGTGACTGTTTGAGGTTGTGGACAGGTGTCATTTATACTGGTATCAAGTTCAAACAGGTGCCATTAAAACAGGTAACGAGTGGAGGACAGAGGAGCCTCTTAAAGAAGAAGTTACAGGTCTGTGAGAGCTTATTTACTTATTTTCCACCATAATTTGCTAATAAAATCATTAAAAATCCTACAATGTGATTTTCTGGAATTTCTTTCCTCAATTTGTCTGTCATAGTTGACGTGTACCTATGATGAAAATTACAGGCCTCTCTCATCTTTTTAAGTGGGAGAACTTGCACAATTGGTGGCTGACTAAATACTTTTTTCCCCCACTGTACATACACTACCGGTCAAAAGTTTTAGAACATCTCCTCATTCAAGGGTTTTTCTTTATTTTTACTAATTTCTATACTGTAGAATAACGGTGAAGACATCAAAACTATGAAATAACGCATATGGAATCATGTAGTAACCAAAAAAGTGTTAAACAAAAAAAAAAATTCTTCAAATAGCCACCCTTTGCCTTGATGACAGCTTTGCACACTCGTGGCATTCTCGCAACCAGCTTCATGAGTTAGTCACCTGGAATGCATTTCAATTAACAGGTGTGCCTTCTTTGTGGAATTTCTTTCATTCTTAATGCGTTTGAGTCAATCAGTTGTGTTGTGACAAGGTAGGGGGGTATACAGAAGATAGCCCTATTTGGTAAAAGACCAAGTCCATATTATGGCAAGAACAGCTCAAATAAGCAAAGAGAAATTACAGTCCATCGTTACTTTAAGACATGGTCAGTCAATATGTAAAATTTCAATAACTTTGAACGTTTCTTCAAGTGCAGTCGCAAAAACCATCAAGCGCTATGATGAAACTGGCTCTCATGAGGACCGCCACAGGAATGGAAGACCCAGAGTTACCTCTGCTGCAGAGGATAAGTTCATTAGAGATACCAGCCTCAGAAATTGCAGCCCAAATAAATGCTTCACAGAGTTCAAGTAACAGACACATCTCAACATCAACTGTTCAGAGGAGACTGTGTGAATCAGGCCTTCATGGTCGAATTGCTGCAAAGAAACCACTACTAAAGGACACCAATAAGAAGTGACTTGCTTGGGCCAAGAAACATGAGCAATGGACATTAGACTGGTAGAAATTTGTCCTTTGGTCTGGAGTCCACATTGGAGATATTTGGTTCCAACCGCCGTGTATTTGTGAGACGCGTTGTAGGTGAACGGATGATCTCCGCATGTGTACCATAAAGCATGGAGGAGGTGTTATGGTGTGGGGGTGCTTTGCTGGTGACACTGTCTGTGATTTATTTAGAATTTAAAGGCACACTTAACCAGCATGGCTACCACAGCATTCTACAGCGATACGTCATCCCATCTGGTTTGGGCTTAGTGGGACTATCATTTGTTTTTCAACAGGACAATGACCCAACACACCTCCAGGCTGTGTAAGGGCTATTTTACCAAGAAGGAGAGTGATGGAGTGCTGCATCAGATGACCTGGCCTCCACAATCCCACGACCTCAACCAAATTGAGATGGTTTGGGATGAGTCGGACCGCAGAGTGAATGAAAAGCAGCCAACAAGTGCTCAGCATATGTGGGAACTCCTTCAAGACTGTTGGAAAAGCATTCCAGGTGAAGCTGGTTGAGAGAATGCCAAGAGTGTGCAAAGCTGTCATCAAGGCAAACGGTGGCTATTTGAAGAATCTCAAATATAAAATATATTTTGATTTGTTTCACACTTTTTCAGTTACTACATGATACCATATGTGTTATTTCATAGTTTTGATGTCTTCACTATTATTGTACAATGTAGAAAATAGTAAAAATAAAGAAAAACCTTTGACTGAGTAGATGTTCTAAAACTTTTGACCGGTAGTGTTTATATATCCTATTAAATATGAATAAAGATATATATTTTTTAACAAATAAAGAAGCAACAAAACAAGAGATGATGCAAAACAAATGTCTAAAAGATAAGAGATATGGTTTTTAAAGCTGATCTTGTAAAAAAGAAATAAAAAGAGACAAAAAAAAGAATGAAAAACAATAAAATAAATAAAAAAGTAAGACCAATTGTCACCCAGTCTGACCATGAGGATTTCCTCTTGGTCTAAGGGTAAAGACGTTGAGTTACCATGCAGAAGACATGGGTTCACATCCCACCAGTTAGGTCCCTTTTCCACTAAGCCTCAGCCATGGAAACACAAAAGTCTGAGGCCAAGCACTGGGGTAAATCCCTGCAGTTGAAATTAGGGTTAGTAGTAAGGCCTGACTGCTAAGGGTCTCAGATGGTGTCCAGGAGAAAGTCTATGCTGTCTGGTGGCAGGGCCCAGTCGTCCTGGCAGAGCAGGGAGTGGAGATTGGCTGCCGTGGCCTCATGCCGCTTCAGTGTGCTCCAGTAGCGCAGCATGGCGAACACACGGTCCACATGGCTGTGTGGATAGTTCTCCTGGATCTGCTCCAGCTTCACAGAGGGGATGTCTAGGGCCCCTGTACCAATCTCCCTCCAGGAGTGACCGATTCTTCGAGCCACACGCATCAGATCCTTCTCCACCACCATCTTAGTGCCTGCTTAGCAACAGAAGGGTCCAAAACACCAGACAGACTTGTCACCAGACAGTCAACATAACGTTTTGAGTTAAATTATACCCTATATTCCCTTGTTTCAAGAGGGTCAACTCACCATCCTTGCATGTCTGTTTAGCCGGAAGGTTCTCTTCAGACTCAACTGTTTGTCTTCTCTTTCTGATAACTTCATTTCCCCCTAGAAAAACAAAAATATATATTATTTAAACACGGCATAATCTTTCAGTACAGTAAATATGGTTATATAGAGGGGCGACACCATCCCCCAGATGAGTCTAAAGAGAGGTGTACTGTACCTGTACCCGTTTCACCTGCAGCTCTTTGATCATTCACTGGCAATTCCTTGAGGAACAGAAGTTTGGGAAATGTCTCCTGCATTTCTTTGCCCCTCAGGAGCCGCAGAAGCTTCTCTGCAGCAGTGGGTCCTTTGTGGATCACATGGTCCAGAAGGTCCTGGGCCTGTTTTGATGGGTTAGTGAGGGCTTTGACCTGCTTGTACTCATGCCGGGACAGTAGGCTGAGGGAGTCTGCATGCTGCAGCACAAAGTCAGGGTCTGCACTCAGAGTATCGATCAACTTCGGCTTCAGACGACGCAGTACCTGCTCGGTGTCACCTAGGGGTTCTTCTTCAGCCATGGTTGGCTAGCTATCCCTTATATCGCTGGACCTGAGAAAATGATGCATTACAGTAGCTATCATTAAATCTGCAAATGAAAGCTGTCATGCAAACTGGCATTCATTCTCATCAAATGTGGGCCTATAATTTGATTTAATTCATTGGAAACTTCGAGACAAAGTTAAATGCTTACAGAGATTGTGTATTTATTCCTTGTGTTATTATTTTTCTATACTTAACAAAAATATAAACGCAACATGTAAAGTGCTGGTCCCATGTTTCATGAGCTGAAATAAAAGAGGCCAGAAATGTTCCATATGCACAAAAAGAAAATTGCTCTCATATTTTGTGCACAAACGTGTTTACATCCCTGTTAGTGAACATTTCTCCATTACCAAAATAATTCATCCACCTAACAGGTGTGGCATATCAAGAAGCTGATTAAACAGCATGATCATTACACAGGTGCACCTTGTGCTGGGGACAATAAAAAGCCACTTTTTATAACGTGCAGTTTTGTCACACAACACAATGCCACAGATGTCTCAAGTTTTGAGGGAGTGCGCAATTGTCATGCTTGACTGCAGGAATGTCCACCAGAGCTGCTGCCAGAGAATTGAATGTCCCACGTTGTTTTAGAGAATTTGGCAGTACGTCCAACCGGCCTTACAACCGCACACCACATGTAACCACGCCAGCCCAGGACCTCCACATCCGGCTTCGTCACCTGCAGGATCGTCTTACACCAGCCACCCAGACAGCTGATGAAACTGAGGAGTATTTCTGTCTGTAATAAAGCCCTTGTGTGGGGAAACACTCATTCTGATTGGCTGGGCCTGGCTCCCCACTGGGTAGCCCTGGCTCCCAAGTGGGTGGGCCTATGCCCTCCCAGGTCCACCCATAGCTGCACCCCTGCCCAGTCATGTGAAATCCATAGATTAGAGCCTAATGAATTAATTTCAATTTACTGATTTCCTTATATGAACTGTAACTCAGTAAAATAGTTACGTTTATATTTTAATTTAGTACATTTATTCCTAGTGTTATTAGTTGTCTACTATTTATCTTTTTTTTCTCTTTGCATTGTTGGGAATGACTGTAAGTTAGTGTTTCACTGTTTCACACCTATTGTTTATGAAGCATGTGACAGTTAAAATTCGATTTGAAGTTGTCTAAAGTTGTCAACTGTGCCCTCCCTTGAAGCATGAACCCCCAACCCTCATTTGGCTGCCTGATTTGCATACTGATAATACTTTGGCCAGGTAAAAATGTATTTGATGTGACGATCTGATAATGGTAGCCTACTTTTTTGGCTTTAAATTGAGATTATAATTTTTTCATGGTTCTAGGTCGATTTTCAAGCATTTACTGATTTCTGATTTCAGCACCCAATTGATTTCTGCACCCAAAGAATAGCCTGCAATTACACACGACATTGTTCTGTGTAATTGCGGGCATTTCTTTGGGTGCTGATGCCGCGTCACGTGCTAGTCGGAACTAGGAAACTCGGAATTGTCCAACTTGCTAACTGCTTGAACGCGGCACTTGTATAACTACAACCAGTTAGCAAGTCTGACATTTCCAAGTTTTCTTGTTCCGACTAGCATTTGAACGCGGCATTAGTCGGCTACTCATCGAAAAGACTCGAAGTGCCCATCACTAAATAATGCAGTCTTGGCAGAGTTTTGTTGTTGTTGATGTCTGTAAGCAGGAAGTCGCCCCACTATCTTTAACTTAAGAGCTAAACGCATTTTTAACGCACAGAACCAAAACATCATTAACTAAATGTTGTACCTAATCATGATAAAATACGATGTAACTTCTTACCAGACACGTTTGAATACACCGGAAGACCCTTGTAGCGCCACTGGTATCTTCTTCTATGATAAATGGCGGTCCGCAAACAAACGTTAAAGATGCATGCCGCCACCTACTGTGCTGGAGTGTGTGGTCAATCACAGTTTACAACATTTCTAAATCCTCCTACCTAACTCAGTACTTCTGAGAAAATACAAAAAGAGCCCTACTGACTTCTAATAGATCCTTCCCGTCCCTCAAATACCTTCCAAACCCATCCAACCTCAATGACCAATTATATATACAAATATCAATTATATCTTGTTTCAAAGCTCTTTTGGCTAACTGGTCTACAGTTTCATTCCCTTCCACACCCGAATGTGCTGGGACCCAGTAGAATCTCACTACTACACCCATTCTCTCAATTCTCCATAATAACATTAATACCTCCAATAGTAGGTCACTCCTATTATATTTACAAGATGATAAACTATTCAATACAGACAGAGAATCTGAGCATACTATAATTCTAACTGGTTGTACGCCCTCCACCCACTGGAGGGCAACTATTATCGCCAACAGTTCAACTGAGTATACTGACAGTTCATCTGTTAGTCTTCTACATATCTGCACATCAAATTCAGGAATGTAAACTCCTGCTCCTGTGCGGCCAATATCTGGGTCCCTGGATCCATCTGTGAAAAGCGGTAAAAAAGCATAAACACTTCTACCAATGTAATTGTCAACCAGTTTCCCTATATCACTGACTTTTGACCAATCTTTCATTTTCTCTACCAGGGTTAGATCAAAAACAGGATCTGGGAGTAACCATGGAGGAACATCCCCTATCAACACAGAACGGCCAACCTCCAACTCCCTCAAACCACTCATCAGCAAACTTTCCAACTGTCCAACCAAAACCACTGCCTTGTCTACTAGTATATTCCCAACAGTCATCTAGAACAGTAGCAGTGGGATGCTCAACCTCACAGCCTTTCAACCTAACCCAATAAGTGAATGACAATTTTTTACGCCGTATATCCAAAGGCATCTCACCTGCCTCCACTAGAAAGGCACATACAGATGTTGATTTAAATGCACCAATAACATATCCTTAAAGCTATATACTGGATTATTGTCCAGCCTCTGAAGCCCAGGTTTCGCCGTTTTTCCATAATATATACTGTAAAGGCTCTGCATCTGTCCTCGTGCTACTAGACCTTAGTGCTGCCTTTGACACCATCGATCACCACATTCTTTTGGAGAGACTGGAAACCCAAATTGGTCTACACGGACAAGTTCTGGCCTGGTTTAGATCCTACCTGTCGGAAAGATATCAGTTTGTCTCTGTGAATGGTCTGTCCTCCGACAAATCAACTGTACATTTCGGTGTTCCTCAAGGTTCCGTTTTAGGACCACTATTGTTTTCACTATATATTTTACCTCTTGGGGATGTTATTCGAAAACATAATGTTAACTTTCACTGCTATGCGGATGACACACAGCTGTACATTTCAATGAAGCATGGTGAAGCCCCAAAATTGCCCTCACTAGAAGCCTGTGTTTCAGACATAAGGAAGTGGATGGCTGAAAACTTTTTACTTTTAAACTCGGACAAAACAGAGATGCTTGTTCTAGGTCCCAAGAAACAAAGAGATCTTCTGTTAAATCTGACAATTCATCTTGATGGTTGTAAAGTCATCTCAAATAAAACTGTGAAGGACCTAGGCGTTACTCTTGACCCTGATCTCTCTTTTGACGAACATATCAAGACTGTTTCAAGGACAGCTTTTTTCCATCTACGTAACATTGCAAAAATCAGAAATTTTCTGTCCAAAAATGATGCAGAAAAATTAATCCATGCATTTGTTACTTCTAGGTTAGACTACTGCAATGCTCTATTTTCCGGCTACCCGGATAAAGCACTAAATAAACTTCAGTTAGTGCTAAATACGGCTGCTAGAATCCTGACTAGAACCAAGAAATTTGATCATATTACTCCAGTGCTAGCTTCCCTACACTGGCTTCCTGTTAAGGCAAGGGCTGATTTCAAGGTTTTACTGTTAACCTATAAAGCGTTACATGGGCTTGCTCCTACCTATCTTTCCGAGTTGGTCCTGCCGTACATACCAATACGTACGCTACGGTCACAAGACGCAGGCCTCCTAATTGTCCCTAGAATTTCTAAGCAAACAGCGGGAGGCAGGGCTTTCTCCTATAGATCTCCATTTTTATGGAACAGTCTGCCTACCCATGTGAGAGACGCAGACTCGGTCTCAACCTTTAAGTCTTTACTGAAGACTTATCTCTTCAGTAGGTCATATGATTGAGTGTAGTCTGGCCCAGGAGTGTGAAGGTGAACGGAAAGGCTGGAGCAACGAACAGCCCTTGCTGTCTCTGCCAGGCCGGTTCCCCTCTCCACTGGGGTTCTCTGCCTCTAACCCTGTTGCAGGGGCTGAGTCACTGGCTTGCTGGTGCTCTTTCATGCCGTCCCTGGGAGGGGTGCGTCACTTGAGTGGGTTGAGTTACTGACGTGATCTTCCTGTCTGGGTTGGCGCCCCCCCCTTGGTTTGTGCTGTGGTGGAGACCTCTGTGGGCTATACTCGGCCTTGTCTCAGGATTGTAAGTTGGTGGTTGGGGATATCCCTCTAGTGGTGCGGGGGCTGTGCTTTGGCGGAGTGGGTGGGGTTATATCCTTCCTGTTTGGCCCTGTCCGGGGGTTTCTTCGGATGGGGCCACAGTGTCTCCGGACCGCTCCTGTCTCAGCCTCCAGTATTTATGCTGCAGTAGTTTATGTGTCGGGGGGCTGGGGTTAGTTGGTTATACCTGGAGTACTTCTCCTGTCTTATCCAGTGTCCTGTGTGAATTTAAGTATGCTCTCTCTAATTCTCTCGTTCTCTCTTTCTCTCTGAGAACCTGAGCCCTAGGACCATACGTCAGGACTACCGGGCATGATGACACCTTGCTATCCCCAGTCCGCCTGGCCTTGCTGCTATTCCAGTTTCAACTGTTCTGCCTGCGGCTACGAAACCCCTACCTGTCCCAGACCTGCTGTTTTCAACTCTAAATGATCGGCTATGAAAAGCCAACTGAGAGACCTGAGCCCTAGGACCATACGTCGGGACTACCGGCCGTGGTGACTCCTTGCTGTCCCCAGTCCGCCTGGCCTTGCTGCTATTCCAGTTTAAACTTTCCTAATACTGTAGACCTAACCTTGTCCTATAAAGCCACTGAGATTTATTCATTATTAGCAACTTTCA